GGGTGGGTCTAAATTATGCCTAAGAGACCCCTTAGGTCTGTGGACTAAGGGAGACTATACCTTTTTGCCCCCGGACTTGGGGAAGTGCCCCAAGTGCCTGTACTGGGTTGAGTACCCGTGGGACTTTAGGCCTGTGTTACCCCAAAGGACACAGGGCTGCGAGACAGTCCATTCTTGGGGTGGTGGCAGCACGTTACCCCCAGACTAGCGAGTGTGCTCCATTACTTTTTCCATCAGAATGGCAGATTCAGGAATTAAGTGACATTGGAGGTTACTGCATGCAGTTTGTTCATTCTGTTGTTGTTGCATAAATTGCTGATTTTATCCCCTGGAGGCTAGTCCAACTCACCTCTAGAAGAGAGTCACACTTTCAGGCTGGATCCAACTCTATTTTATTGCTTGCAAGCAGGCCGACAGAGGAGCTTGTTGCTCAGATCAGTGTTGACCCTAAACAAAGAGCGCACGTGGCTTTTATTGAGCTAGCATTTTTTTCAGTTGACGTTACATTTTGATTGGTCATTTGAAACCAAAACCTGAGCAACCTATAAGACATAGGTAGTAGGCTATCCTGTACCATGTGGGTGGAAAGTTACAGAATGCAGGGGTTAATACTAAAACAAGGAACAAAGAAACATAGAGAAAAGTAACTATTTTTGCTACATTGTGTTAACAGGGCGATCATATTCTGCCCAAAGCAAAAGGCCAGGCAACTGAAACAGGCTATCTTAAGAGCAAAGCCAGGACAATTATGTTCCACTAGAACTAGAAAGAAAGCTTTAACCATCATTTTGTAAGTCATAACTAAGTACCAATAGAATAGCAGCAGCCACTGCCTTTACCTACCATCCATGATGCTTTGGCAAATACTATTAATGTAAGGATTAGGTCTTGTGATGAGCAGGTTCGACACAAAACAAGCTCCACTGAATAAATGGGTGTATGCAAGGGGGTGTTTCTGCTGCCACAGCTGTAGAAACATTTATCTGGAACATCCTTTACCTGCACTAAATTTATCAAGGAGAACTGTTACTTTTCTTTCATTCAGTCCCTTAGTTCAACCTACTCTTACACCCTCTCCACACACATTTCTTTCAACCCAGCTCACGTTTACACAAACTATAGGCCAATGTGCTAACAGTACCCCTTGGGCCAAATTCAAATCATCAAAATACTGTGAGCTTCACCATGCCGATTCAATACTTCCATGTCAGCACTTCAGCGTAGATTAGCTGATCTGAATTTAGAATCATCCTTCAAACAGATTAGAAAGCAAATGATAAACCTCCCGCATCAGTCCATGCTGTATTAGCACATGCTTGATTCATCCACCTTGCCACGTTTTCCCCAGCAGTCATAATTAATAGCATCTGCCCAGTTCGCTTTTGAACTTTGAGTTTGCGGAAAAGATTTTATTGATTAAATTTATATGCCACCCCTATACATGTATATGCCCGCGTGTGGGGAGAGGGGAAGCAAAGCTAAATGCAATGGGTAATTAAAAAGTGACAACAACCATAACATTATGATCCAAAAAGATCGGGCTTTCCTCTTGTACTAGTTTAACAAAAAGGTCCTTTGAGGGTTAACAGGAGCGTACACACAGGCATCCTAACTAGCTGGTTAGAGTAACCATGATCCACTAATGCCACAGCAATGCCATTATTCTCTTGTTCACTTCTTTCAAAATCATGTGCCAAACATTCAAATAAGAAGGCCCTAAAAATGCAAGAGATACAATTTCCAGATGGACAGCCAAACCCTCAACTCTCACTGAAGTCAATACGACACTGCTCAGTGTCTTTAAGGGCAGATTAACTCTCCTTCAGCACCCAAATATCAATGGGCCTATATATCTGTCCACTCAGGCTTTCAATTTTTTAACTTTTCAGTTATGTCAAGAATACCATACAATTTCAGAACCTACTTTTTTTGAAAAAGTACAGAATATCCATTGATCAAGGGACAAATAAAAGACAAAACACTTGTCACTAATAAGATGCACTTTATTAGTAAGACATTATTACTGCACTTTAGATAAGACACAGCTTTCAATAAGCCTTTACTGTTTGCATATACGTATCAAAACCAGTATGGTAAAAGGCACTGTAGGTGGAATCTAGCTATCCAGTGATGATACAAATATCTACAATATACTCCTCACTAAGGTATTTAGAGACACTTTCCAAGTACAATTCCTGAAATTAAACCATTTTGACAAGGCCTCAACACTGCAAAGACTCTGGACAAACTCCCTGTGGAAGTCTCTGCAGGGTCAGGGCCTCGGTATGGAGAAGCAGAAACAAGATAAATTAGGATTTTAGATATTCACTTTGAGACCTGCCCAAAGCCTTGCATACTTTTGCACACAGCATGTTTTAAATGACATTAAATCATACTGCACAACCATAAAGTGAGTGCTAAGATATTATATACATCCATATCAAGAGCACAACCAGCATTTACATTGATAAACAAGGCTTCAACCACCTGAGTCGAAATGATTACCTTTTATACCAAAAAAGGTCAGTCCCTGGCTGAACTGTCTACCCACCCTGCCAGAATATACACACAATATTGGTAATGAAGTTACAATAAGTCACAGGTATCAGCTTCTTTTCAAACTGAAGTCTACAGACAACTTGTCTGTGAGGCTGTGGGACTTTACATTGACCTATACACATCAAAGACCGACCTCCAGTATAAGAAAGCCCGATCCAATAATTTTTTGACCTATGTCAGTGAAGTAACTTTGGTTGATCTTTTATCTGCACACCGAGACACAGTAGGTGCACGCGACAGAATTTTAGAAGTTAGTTAGAACACTGGATTATTTCATAATCCCTCCAGTCTAATAATCCTGCTTTACAGTGCAGTTACTAGCATATGTACCAGCACACCACTTAAGTGCTTTTTATTGGTTTACCATAAACTAAAACCTGAACAAGGATATTTCCAACAGCTACTTCTATTGGGTTCTTTGCAGCCTACAAGAAAGCTTCCCCAATAGAGAAGGAGTGAGCATGGTAAAACGACTACAAAGTCATTCCACAATATATTCAAAAGCAGGGAAATAAATAATTGAGTGCTGAAACATATATTACCATTGGCAAGCTTAAGGCAGCAAGTGTGCAAAAATATTCATATAGGAGGAACGGATGCTGCTTTCTTCAGAAAGAATAAATAAAAGAATTCCAGTGCTTTAAAAGCATGACATCTAAATGTCAACATCTTTTTAGCGACTCAGGAGTCATATTAAGGCCCTATCCAAGTCATCTTTCCTTCAAGTCTCTTCTGTAAGGACAGCAACACTGAGAAGGCGGAAGCTGTTTAGCACTAACGCAAACCACGCCTTCCTAGCTAGAGATGGCTACAGACAAAATTACTAGGAGACAAAGACAACAGATGGAGCTGAAAGGGATGACAGGTTTTTGCCTTCCTTAAAATTCACCAACCCATACAGGAAACAATCATGACAGGGAAAGATTCTGCCATGACATCTTCAGCTCTGGTGACAGCAGGAACTAAACCTTGTAAGCTGCAATGGGCAGATTCTGGGTAGATCACAGCTCTCCAGCAAGGCTAGTAGAGGCCAGGAGCCACCTGAGGCGTGTCAGCAATGCAAAACAAGCAAAGAAAGTTAAACAAATAAGCTATCACTTTTCCTTCTGGGCCTCATCTTTCAGAGGCTTTACAGAGCCTGCAGGCTTGTGGAAACAAACCAACAAAGGACCAAAAAAGAGCCCTGCTCTCCACCTCTCCTGGCAGCTGCTTAGCCCTTTGTCACCCCAGGCTCCAGACAGCCTCTCCCAGCACCTTGAGGCTGCTTTCATAGTCTTTTATTCTTCCCGCTGTTGGTACATGCGGTCCACTCTCCTTCATTCACCACACTGGCATCAACTCCATTGCTGGGAGACTCATTGCAGTACAGTCCTTTTACCATCTCTCAAAGGCTCATTTAAACTTCCCCGAAAAAATGATCAATCATGCTTTAGAAGTTCTGTATTGAGCGGTGGGTGGCCGGACAGCAGATTCCCTGTGAACAAAAATAAGCACGGTTAAGAATCAAAAACCTATTTTTCACAAAATCCTATTCAATATGTGAATAAGTCGTCTGCAAAACAGTGCCCTAGTTTTACTATTACAAAGAGGAAGTAGTGCAAAAAGAGTTCTGTTCCTGATATTTCACAGACATAATAAGTATTTAAACTTCAGCGCTCTCTGAAGGGCACCATCAGTAAATAGGTCCATGCTGTTCTATTTAATAGTTTGGGAACTGATTAATTAGCAAGCACTTGAATACTAGAAGCACATTAGGCAGCACGGATTAATTCAGTTACTGAATAAACTGTGTCATAATAGTCTTAGAGATGGCAAAAGTGCATAAAATAAACTCTGCTCTCAACTCTGATTAGCTAAGAACCTTAAGTGAGCCACTCCTTACTCTGAAAGATTGTTATAGGCACATGAACACCGCACAGATGAAGTATCACAATCTGTCATAATGGAACTGAGAAAATTTCCTTTTTGACTGTGTAGTCAAGTGTGGTTCAGGTTAGCACCCGAGGATTGACATTTTAGGTATTCCCCCCACTGACTAACAATCATTTTCATGCATTCCAAAGAGTACAGCAGACTTTCAGACTGTTCAAGAAACAAAAAAGTTGACTTGCAGGGCGGCTAGGGTCTGGAACCAACTTCCAAGGGAGGTGATGCAGGCTCCTACCCTGGGGTTTTTTTTAGAAGTTAGATGAACACCTTGCTGGGGTCGTTTGACACCAGTACTCTTTCCTGCCATGGCAGGGGGTCAGACTAGATGATCTGCTCAGGTCCCTTCCAACCCTAGAAACTATGAAAGATAGAAAATGTCTCTTTTTTTCCCCCGAAAAGGCCAAGTATATGTTACTGCTCTAAACTGCTGACTAGGAGGCATTCTTGGAGCTACATGCAGAGAATTACAAGTTATAATTAAAAAGAAGTTAGCAACGTAGCTGTCACATCTAAGACAGTGGACTGGAGACACGGATTCTTCCTCACAAACACATGACAAGGGCCAGTAACCCCTTCAGCAAGCAGCAGCAAAACTCATCTCCAGACTCAATTAGAAACATCCTACTAAGTAGCTGTGAACCTTTCCAAGTGGTACCCTGACTTGAAAGGGAAAGGGAAACTTTTTAAGCTCCAGGCTGAACAAAACTGCAAAATACATAAAAAAAGACAGAAAACTATCTACATAACACTTAAACTTTACATGAGTATATCTTACCACCCCTCCAAAAAAAAAGCAGCAGTATCAGATGTTTTCTAATATACCCTTTGCGAAAAGCCCGGAGGGAAGATAATGAAGCAAATCATGAATGACCTGGTCTATAGGTCCAGAATTTGGACACAGTATCAGATGTCCTGGAAGAGGTCACTTTCTATCCAGTGTTTGGAAGCAAATTGTTCTGGGGATTTATTTTAGGAAACCCAAGTGCAAATGTGGTGGTTTTGAAAGAAGCCAGACAGATAGGACTGTGCACTGAACAGGTTTCACAGCAGAATCAGTACAGCATATTAGCACTAAAACCCTCAGGACAGAGCTGAAGCCAATGCAGAAACAAAAGGGTAGCTCACTCTCTAGTACAATTTGACTATTTGCACGTAAGACCAACAGCAGCAGCAGCAAGCGATAGGAAGGCACCCAACTCAAGAGCTCAAAAACCACCAGGTCCATGTCACACATTAATATTCCTAACTTACGAAAGGTATTTTACAAAAAATCAAAACCATTTTCCTGATAACTTAAGGTATTAGCGTATTGACATGAAAATAAATCTGCAATGTTATCCCTTGGTACATAACCACTGCAAGATGTCCATCATGGTTTCAAGTGACAATATTTCTGTTGCAAAAGACTAAGCATGCACTTAAGACTTTTTCAGCCAAAAAAATAAAAATACACATGCACATACACTCTTACCACACAAAACACAGTGTTCACAGGACACCAAATGCTCAATTCCACCACAAAAAACACAAACGGGTTTAGATTTTGTTACAATTTTCAAAGCTACATGCGGCCTCATGTAGAAGAAGCATGAACGTCAGAGCCTCATAAAGAGCCTCGGACTAAGAAAAACACTGAAAAATGCAACTTATTCTTAAGTCAGCTGTAACTACTCGTATACTGAAGTATGCATGCTCTTTTTACCATATGCTTTTGTGACTAACTCTAGTTCACCTGCAATCCATTGCTTTTGGAGCAGTACACCACAGAGTTTTCAGCCAACAGGGCAACTGTGGAGTGGCACAGATGCTGCCCTCATGCTGCCAAAGCTTCATAAGTGATGGAACACAGCACAAACCAGGACCATCACCAATTTTATTCGGGAAACACTGGTGCATTGCAAAGCAGAGACAGGGAAAACTTTAATCATCCTCTGGGAGGAGTAGCAGTGATCTTCACACAAATCCAACTTAAATGCAGTTAACACTTTGCACTGCAGTAAACCCATATAAAATTAGCTAACAACGGGGTAACAATCAGAAGCCAGCAACGAAGGACTGAATATGTTCTGAAACTTTACATAGACAGCAGGTACAAAACTAGAACTCCTCCAATATGTTTGGGTGTTTAAAAACAGAAGCTGGTAAAGCTCAATATACTGGAGCAGAGCAAAGACACTACGAGACAATCATGGTTTACTCACTTTTTCTGTGGACC